GCGGCAAAGCCGCCCCGAACAAAACAAAAATAACATATCCTACCCGCGTGGAACCTAACCGCGTAGAAGTTACAGTCTAGACAAAGTCCACTTGGAATATTCCTAATCCAGTGAAGACGGTGGGATGTGAGAACAGTCTTTTTAAAAGCACTATCCTCACATCTCCAATTCATGGGTTAGGAATATTCCAAGCGAACTTTGTCTAGGCTGTAACTTCTATGCGGTTAGGTTCCACGCGGGTAGGACGTTATTTTTTTTTGTTCGGGGCGACTTTGCCGCCCTAAACCCAAGCATTACTGTTTACACACTCCACTGTCCACATGGGTTATGCCCGTGTCACACTACGCATTGGAGATTGAGGATTGCGAATTAAGGATTAGAATTCGACCAATCAAGTAATTTTAAGTTTAATCCATTTCGTTCTAATTGGCTGAATTCTAATCCTCAATTCGCAATCCTCAGTCTCCAATGCGTAGTGTGACACGGGCATTACGGACTCTACTGTGATTGGTCAATTCGCTTACTGCTTACGTTTTATTGCTTAAGTTTTTTTGTGTGCTATGGCCTTTAATGCGGGGTCTACAATAGAAGTCGTAGCGGTCGTAGGGTCTTAAGTCGTAGAAAATTTACCAATCACAGTTGAGTATTCTTCTCATATTTGACTGTGATTGGTCAATTTTCTACGACTTAAGACCCTACGACTGCTACGATTTCTATTGTAGACCCCGCATAAGGCCATCACACGTACAAAAATTTTAGTCGTAATCGTAAGGTCGTAAACAAATCGGCCAATCACAGTCGAGCGTTTTTAAACGCGAGATCGTAATTTTGATTGTGATTGGTCGATTCTGCTTACGATCTTATGATTACGACTAAAATTTTTAAATGAGGGGAAAGGAATTTTAGCTCCTATTGTTTTGATTGGTCAAATTTCAATCTTTCAATCTTCAATCTCAATCTTCAATGCCTAGTCTGATTCCGGCCTAATGGTTTATTCACACTGGACGCGGAATGCTTATCGCGCGGCAAAATGCGACGCGGTAATCAATGGTCGCGTTCAGCAGACTCAACTGTTGCGGAGCGGATCAATGAGCTCTCGCTGCTATTGGATGATCTAAAAGAATACACCAATAGCAGTGAGCGCTCACGGATCCGCTCCACAACAGTTGA